GAAACAGTTTCATCAGGCTTCTGTTGCCTCTGGTACAGCTTGTATCTCTCAGCAATTACAGTTGGCTTGGGCTCTAAGTGATCTCTTAGCTTAGTGACAAGTTCGTCGAACGTCTTGGTGTTCGGCTTCTCTGGTGCGAATAAGTCACGTAGCAGGTCGTAAGTTGGACCTCCAACTACACTCAGTAACACTGCTACCTTCTTCCTCCCGTCAGTGATTCCATTCGCTACGAGATACTCTGTCAATCTTTCAGAATAAGATGACCATTGTGAGCTAGTTGCTTCAAAAGGACCAATAGCACCAATTCTCGTCGCCATTTGTTGTATTGTTAATAATAAGAACTCAACTTGATACAACAATAAAAAATAAGAAGTTCACTGAATCACACGCACTCTACACTCAACACTCAAGAACAGTTAATTACAAAAATCATTAAGTATTTATACCAACAGAGAAACCATACAATTATTAATAACCACAACTATGCAATAATAATAATAATACATTAATGAATCATAAGATATTACATGTAATAACATTAACCATTTCCATACATCACAATTGGAATTGATCAATATGAGATATATGTCAACTGAACTGAAACTGTTTACAATAGTTTCTGCAATAATTTAGGCTGTTTAAAGTTCATTAAAATAATTTCTCCTTTTTATTATTTTAGTATTGATTAGCCTAGACCATTTTTAGATTTTTTAGATTTCAAAATTTAGAATTTAAATCTCAGTAATTATTATAGCAACTCTTGATCTTTAAAAACTTGACAAATATTGCATGAGAATATCCTCAAATCAACATGGAGTAAAACATTTCAATGTAGCTGAAGACATGATCAATGGAATAGAAATCATTAATTTAAAAGAAATTTAATGATGGAAAATAATTTTAGCTGTTGTCAGCTCAACATTATACTTGTTTTAAGAGTATTTGCTTTGAGGGTTGAATCTCTAAATACATTAGCATATTGCCCTCAATTTCATTGTCCTATATGAGGGCTAGTTAGCCTTTATAAAATGAGCAAATTTTGTTTGCCTCATGGCAGAATGCATCAATTTTTACTGATGTCCACAAAATTGTGACTTTATATGATAGCTATATAGATTTATGCTCATCAGATTCAAATGTACAATTATCATAATTAAACTGAAACTAGAGCTAGTCCATCACATTGTAGCTACATGGGTGAAGCCACTATCATGTCAGTTTAAAATAAAAAATTCTGTCTGTCAATCTATTGGCATCATGTGGTTGTTGATCACTCCTAAAAGGCATGATTGAACAGATGAGTTCACAACATCATTCCATAAGCACTCATTATTGTTTTCGAGATAGCTATAGCAGCTGCTGTTATTGATACAGTTGAGTGTTATTCCTAGAGGCATAGCATAGTCCAGCTCTAATCAAATTTAAGTGAACCAACAGCAACTTTGAGTATATTTTTTCAAAACTAATGAACTAATTAACATAGCCCAGCTCTAATCAAATTTAAGTGCAACTTTGAATACCAATCAGTTCATTAGTTTAGAATTAATATACTTAAAGTTGTTGTAGGTTCACGTAAATTGGTTCATTAGTTAATTAATATACTCAAAGTTGTTGTAGGTTCGCTTAAATTGGTTCATTAGTTAATTAATATACTCAAAGTTGTTGTAGGTTCACATAAATTGGTTCAGTAGTTAATTAATATACTCAAAGTTGTTGTTGGTTCACTTAAATTTGATTAGAGCTGGGCTATGCCTCTAGGAATAACACTCACTTGTATCAATAATAGCAGCTGCTAGCTATCTCGAAAACAATAATGAGTGCTTATTGAATGACGTTAAATATTACTAGTTAACAGAATTGCCAGATAGGTCTGACCAAGAGTTAAAGTTCATAATTTAAAAAAAAAATTTATGTTTCTCAAAAAAGTTCATGCATGCAAAACTTGAAAAAATTAATCAAACTTTAGTAAAATGAATGTAAAACTCAAAAAACGTATGTGTGTGTTTAGGATGGTTTAGTCATTGAATTAAGCCTCTAATTGTTATCTGATGAGGAAGAAGGGCTATAGTAGAGCTACGATACAATGACAAATCATCATTTCCATATATCAGATAATGGAGTGAACTTGATGCATCCTTCATTTAACCTACTGTATACACCTACACACTTTACTTCACACCTACATATTGCTACAGGATAATTTTTAATTTGCCAATTTTTTATGAATTAGCTACATGTATTTGAATTTTGCATTTAGCTCATACATGTGTATCCATGTATTAAAATTATAAAAATTATTTGTGGTGAAATTTTTTATAAAAAATAAAGTAGCGCATCACTTTTCCAATAATCTTATTGTAAATGTATAATTATTATTTACTTACATGTAGATCAGTTTGATGGAGCATGTTCACAATAACTTAATAAGTAACTTTATTAATTTTAATAATTACTAATTTTGTATTATTGTCTTTTTGTACTTTTACTGATTTTTTTATTAGAAATTGCTAACCGTTTTAATTCAAAGGTAACACAGGAACACTTGCTATCCAATATCCAACAGGTTTGTATTGTGTACATTAATTACATTAGTGTGTGTGTGTTGGTCCTTCTTTAGAGATTAATAACTTTGAATGAGTGCATCATTTCATCAGTTACACAACTGTGCTCCAACTCACAAAGGGTAATAATTCTTTCTTATTTTCTGTTTCTCAATTGTTGTATTGATTTTCTAAAATACAATGGAAGAGGAAAAGCTTTTTTATTACTGTTAGATTCTGCCCATTAAAATTTAAATGATGCTTAAATTTTACATGCATGTACACGTACTTGTGCAATATGTACATGTATATACTACATCTACAATGAAAGTTACTGACAAAACACCCTGTACTATAGTACAGGGCATTAGGAGGGAATTGACCAAATTTCATCAAAAATTGCTAGAAGAGAATTCTCCATTTTTAATAATTTTTCTTATACTTGTGTTATGTTGCGTAGCAAGTTTGAGTTGATTCCAATCAAAATTGATTTTTTTTTTTATTTTTAAAAATTACTGAAAATTGTGTTTTTAGTAAAATTCTACCAAATTGAGTAAGAGAGAATTCTCTGTTTTTATAATGAATCTGTTACATTTACACATACATTATTATAGCAAGTTTGATCAAAATTGATTTTATAATTTGTTAGGATCAAATGGCTACATTATCAAGTGGTTATGAAGGACAATTGAGTGCTATGTCTGATCATTTGTGTGAGCTAAGGGACAAACTGGCTAAGACTGAAGAAGGATCTGAAAATCCAATAAAAGGAAGGGTTAGTTTATGTATTTATTATGACATTTTATTATCTATTAATTTATTTATAGAGAAAAATGAAATAGAGAACACAGACAACAGCTGCTTCAATAATTACTGTAACCATATAGTGTCGCGTAGCTAGCAGCTCCTCCCTTAGAGCAGAAGTTGCTGCAGAAAAAATAAAATGAGCTGCTGTAACTTCACTACAGTTCTTTATTTCATCACTCTTAGTAGGTTGTAGCTATTATTTTATTGAATGATGAATATCATTATAAAATTATTGTAGCATTAAATGAAATTAGTATGAAATTCGCCTTGGGATGGGTATAAAAAGATCAATCACAGCCACTCTATCTTATCAGTCCTATCATAGTAATACACTCTTTATAATACATCAGTATTATGAAATTTATCTGTGTTTTTCTTACTCTGTTTATTCTAACAGTAGAAGCTGAAAGAAGTGCAGAAAAAGACTTGGATTGGGAAACAGGACAAAAAGAAGCCTGGAAAGCTTATGATGAGTATGGCACACAAGAACCATCAGCTAATCGAAAGGAAAATGGTTTAGAGAGTGATGATTTCATGGAAAATGGTATCATGCCAGCAACGCAACCTCCTCAATTACCAGAAGAAGGAGAATCATATCAACCACAAAAGGCAGCTCATCCTCCTCATATATCTCAATTACCAGAAGGAGAATCACATCAAGCACGAAAGGCAACACAAGATGTTGACAGCAATGCTGCTGGGGTGAAAGTACAAGCTGGAAATTGTGCATGCGCTGAGAAAGTAAAGAAAGGTCTCCTCCAGGCTCTACAAAGCTGCATTAATGTTCTCAATGCTATGGAATCCTGTACCAGCCGTAACAAAAGAGCAGTTTATGAGAATGTGCAGCTTATGTCATCGTGTGCCTGCTCTCAAAAAGTTAATAGTGATCTCATACAGTCACTAAAGAGCTGCACTGATGCTATAATAACAACTTCAAGTTGCATTACAACCTTTTCTTCCTGTGCAGAGATCAAGAGCTACAATCCTAGAAGTGCATCAGGTAGCTACCAGTTACATATTAATAATAAAACTGTAGCAGTGTACTGTCATATGGAAGCTTTGTGTGGCATTGATGGAGGATGGACTAGACTAGGAAAGCTTGACATGACTCAATCCTCTTCTACCTGTCCCTCTTCACTCCAGCTGATTACACAGAGTAATACAAGAATTTGCACTAAGAATCAAGCCGGCTGTAGGTCTATACCTGTCCCTTCACAGGGTTTGAAGTATTCTCAAGTGTGTGGACGTGTCAGAGGTTATCATAGGTACACAGTTGATGGTTTCTTAAACAGAGGAATTGATCAAGTTTATGTGGATGGTGTTAGCATCACTCGTGGGTCTCCTCGTAAGCACGTTTGGTCTCTCGGTGGAAGCACATATAATGCTGGTTGTCCATGCAGTAGTTCTAGACGAGCTGCATCATTTGTCGGCAGTGATTATTATTGTGAGTCTGGTTTTCCAAGTGGTCCACAGAACACATTTGGAGTTGCCGATCCACTTTGGGATGGAAAAAATTGCCCATCCAATGAAGCAAGATGTTGTTCTCCCCCTCTTCTCCCTTGGTTTCTCAAGAGGATTGGATCCACAACTACTGATAATATTGAGATGAGGGTTTGCACTGATGAGGGACCAAGTAATGAAAACATTGGAATTGATCAATACGAGATATATGTCAACTGAACTGAAACTGTATACAATGATTTTTTTCAATAATTTAGGCCGTTTAAAATTCGTTAATTTTCTCTTTTTTACTGTTTTAGTATTGATTTGTCTAGACTATTTTTTAGATTTGTCAGATTTCAAAACTTTAGTTTCAAAAATTTAGAATTTGAATTTCAATAATAATTGTAGCGGCTCAATTTAATTTTAATTTGGTGATTACTATAAGAAGAATATAAAAACTTGACACTGAAATACGGCATGAGGATAAGTCCAAATCAACATGCACTAAAAAATACATGTATAGCTGAAGGCATATTATCAATGGAAAGGAAATCATAAATTGGGAGAAAATAAATGATAGAAAATAATTTCAGTAGTTGCTCAACATTAAGCTAGTTTTAAGAGTATTTGCTCTGAGGGTTGAATCTCTGAATACATTTTTTGTATGTGGTTACATCATATATCAAATTCAGTAATATCAGATGTCATTGTATAACAGCAGTGGAAGCAATACTTGGACCTCTATAGCATGAGAAAATTACTGAGTTGGACTTTTGATGCGTCCTACAGTGATAATACCTGTCAAAGGGATATATCACTGGGATATCTCTTGATATCCCTTTGACAGGTACATGTACTTATAATGAATCAATAGCAGTAGCTACAGTGCACTTGCTGCAGGAGAATACTAATGTACTAGTTAAACCAGACAATTTCCAGCCTGCATGCAGTCATTTATATGGTCAGCATAACTAAAAGTGATAGTAGATAAAAGGCCATACTGAATACTTACAGTGGCATGCAATGAATATTTCAGAAAAAATGGCAAAAATATCAAATTGCTTGCAATTTCCTGCTTTGCTTAAGATTCATAACTTCAAACAAAATGCTGTCATGCACATAAATGCTGTCATGCACATCATCAGTGCACCTGTTGTCCATAGTTCAAGACAAGTCATTGACTAAATTCCAAGTAAAATCATATTGATTATTATAATAAAGAATATGCACATTATAATTTTACATTATGATGTTCACGATAGGAATTTAGAATTATTTTAGTGGATGACTTGTCTTGAACTACAGACAACAGGTGCACTGATGATGTGCATGACAACACAGGTATTCTCTCAGAATAACAATCAGCATCTCTCATGCAAATTGACAAATTTTTTATAATGAACAGAACTAAAAACTAATGCATTGTATTTTAGCTAAATGGCCAATTCTATGATGTCAGTTAAAAATAAAAAATTCTGTCTGTCAATCTACTGACATCATGTGGTTGTTGATCACTCCTAAAAGGTATGCTTGAACACATGAGTTCACAACATCATTCCATAAGCACTCATTATTGTTTTTGAGATTGCTAGCAGCTGCTGTTATTGATACAGTTGAGTGCTATTCCTAGAGATATAGCCCAGCTCTAAGTGATCAAAGTGAACCAACAACTTTGAGTAATTCCAAACTAATAAACCAATAATCGTAGCCACATTCTAAACTAATGAACCAACTGTAAATCTAGCCAGGTAGTCTACTACCTAAAGGGGTAGATTGGCCTGGGGCAACATATCATTCTTAAGATCTAAATCTAAATAATACAATCACCTCGACAATCATTCCATGATTATTTTGACATTGTGAATGGTTAATGGTTAATTATACTGTCAGTCTGCCACGCCTCTCATTCAATTATGGACTTCTTGTTTGTGTCTCTTCTTTCTTTCCTATCCTTGCTGCTAGTTTACTGTTGGTACTAGTAAGTGCTATCTTTAGCAGATCTCCCTAGTTACTGTTTGACCTCTCATTAGTTTTTGTTATGCTCCTTACCGAGTTCTCAAGAGACTTGGTATCACTCATCCTCCAGTGAGGCCTTTCATGGGGAATGCATTACAAGTATTGAAACTGGTATGTGACCCTAATGTTGTGGTTATTTACATACAGACATTGTGTCATCCAATAGGGTAGAATTAGCCTTATGAACAAGTTGATTTCTGAGAGTAATAATAAAGTGTCCGGGTATGTACCACTGTATATACATATACATGTAGCTGCATGGTAACTTCAGAGGGAGAAATTTCGGTGAATTGTTGTAATCAAAGGGTTAAATTTATGGTTATGTACCATTGAGCAAGCATATAAAGGTTAAGGCCATGTTTACCCAACTCAGCATTTTTATGTGTTTAGTAAGCTAGCTAGGGAATTTTGCCTATTATGCTTTCGGGTACTGCCCCAAATTCCATCCTATTATGCTTTAAAACAAATCCAATTATGCTCATAGATTAAGGCTTTGCTCAAATATCAACTATCAAGTTACATGTACACGCATCTGTTAAAATCAGAATCTGAAAATTTTTCCAGTGATTTTGAGTCACTGGAAAATAGAATAGTCTAAGTCATTGGACTCTCCACGCTTGCATAGGTGGGTACTAGGCAGTTGGATTGTTGTACCTGTACAATCTGCCATATTGAATTGAAATCATCATGTGGTCAGGGGTGTAGGGCCAGAAATTTTGACTCATTATGCTCCAATAATGCCAGCATAATAACTTGCCCTATTATGCTCCAAATTATGCTAAATAGCATAATTTGCCTAGCCCTACCTGTATCTGTGTCTAAAAGTCTCCAATATTAATGAAAACAGACCGTAGTGTATATAAATGTGGCCTAAAATAGCAGGTTTTATTTTGGCTTATACTCCCATTTTAAATTTACTAAAATTTCCCCTCCAAATTTACTAGCCATAGATCTACATACATCTACTATTATTTTATTTATGGATGCACATGATTGATTTGTTTGTTTGTGTTTTTTTAGATTTTATGTTGGGGCAATGCCTCATATTGTAGTTGCTGATCTCGACCTCATTAAAGAGATAACAGTTAAACAATTTGATAAATTTACCAATAATTTGGTTAGTGGTTAGTCAATAACCTAATCATAGAAAATATTATTTTAGTACATATTGGTAGTGAGGGTTTCAGAGTTATCACTCATTTTCCCTTCATTGTACATGTAGTAATGAATATTACTAATTCTGAGATGCAGTCTCAGACTTTCAGTAACAATGTTTACACACATACGTTGTACATTGCATGTACACAATTATTGAAAAATAAAAGTCATTTTACAAAAATTAATATGGGTGATCCACATGGTCAAAATTTTGCATTACCAATTTGAAATTTTGTACTTTATTGCATGATTAAATTAATTTTTTATCATACAGAGAGAGACTTCTCTGACAATTGAAATACGTAAAAATATCAACATGGGGCCTGGCTTGCTATTTGCTTTTGGCGAGGAGTGGAAACACGTTCGACAAATTGTGACACCAACTTTCTCGACCAAAAAACTGAAATTGGTAAGATTAAAGTATCATCATTGCTAGTCTGATTGTATTATTAACAGATGATGCCTCTGATTGAAAGAAAGTGTGACACTCTAAACATTATATTGGAAGAGAAGTGTGCAAAAGGAGACAGCTTTGATATACACCAGTACACAATTATTATATCACATTAATTATTTATTTCTTATTTCTTATAGTTTGTATGGCCAGTTCACTTTGGAGACTATGCTTGCTGTAGCTTTTGGTTCTGAAGTGAATTTACTGAAAGGAGAGGGGAGTTTACTGACAGAGGCAGTCGCTGGATTATCTGATGATTTGAGTGAATCTATCATTACCTGGGAGGCATTATTCCACTGTAAGAATGAGGCTACCTTATAGTGAGAAATATTGGTGGGAAACAAAATATTGAGTTGGTTTTTCTTGCACCTTGACCACTTGCCATTGATGTGTGGAATGGGAATGGTGGTTTCTTCACAAAACTGCCAATTGTCAATATTAATGCCCACTAATGGCACCAATACATTTTTCCTGCCCTATA